TACATTTGACTCAAGTCGTTTTCACCAAAAGCCTTTCCCCTTCAGTCTCAAAAGTTATAGGAAAGGAAAGGGGGTATTTTTCACTCAAAGAAGCTGTTTAAACCGTGACAATAAGCTTGTGTGAAGTCTGATAATAGCAGTGACTCCAGTCTTTTGTAGTTGTATAAGTGAATCTCCATCCATTTAGGTGTGTCAATGGGTCCTTTCTGAGGACTGTGACTGTCTGAGACTGACAAGTCTGTCATGCATCTAAAATTAATGAATAAACTCTCTCTCTCTCTCTCTCTCTCTCTCTCTCTCTCTCTGATCAGGTGAGGGGGAGCCCTGTGTGACCAACCCATGTGTACATGAAGGGAAGTGTCTACCTCAGGGCAAGGGCTACAGCTGCTATTGCCCACAGGGCTTCACAGGGGAGAACTGTGAGATCGGTGAGTTTACAACACACACACACACACATGCATCCACACAGACACACACATGTACACATGCATGCACCTGGACACATGCATGTGTGTGTATCTGTGTGTAACTAAGAGATCTTAAAATAAATTAGGTGTAGGTCAAAGGTCAAACCCTCCATCACCCTTTAGAAAATGGTTTGGAGGTTTAGAGGTCAGCCTCCTATCTTCCTTATATTACTGTACTTCACAATCAATAGCAACTGTGTGAATCTCAGTGACTTTCTTCCTTATGGTCGGCTTACTTGTCTAGCTCAGCCCTGACTCAGATTCACAACTTTACATTTTGTAGCCTAGAACCTGACAGGGAAATTCAAAGCTATGTTTGGCCAGACATGCAGACCTGAGTCTTATGTACCATAAGCCCTCAGAAGGTCTTGACAAGGGCAATAGTCTGGATTGGATTTGTCTGACACCAGTGCTTGACTTGGACTGAAATAGGTTCCGGTACTCATTTTGGGTGCCGGTACTGTATATATTTAGGTGCAGGAGCTCCACAATACTTTTGAGCTAATATTCTATAAGAGGAACAGGAGCTCAATCAGTAGAACATTTGAGGTGCAGGTACTCAGCTCAGGTGAGCTCCTGCCCAAGGCAAGCACTGTCTGATACCGTTTCTCCAACATTCTTATGAGGGCTTTTTTTAGTTTTAAAACCCTTATCAACTCTCAGAACAGAGAATATAGTTTAGTTTGAAGTGACTTTGAGAGCACAGTTTGGTGCCTTTTATCCTTGGAGTATAAATTAATGTTCTGAGTTGAATCGTTATACAGTAGACAGTGTGTTTGGAACAGTTATCCATAATTCAGAAAAGAAGACGATATTATGAGTCAGACTTGAGTCAGGATTCTCTGTAATCTTATTTTCTGAAATCCTTCTTGGCACTGTCATTAAACCTTCACAATTGAAATTTGATACAGTACATGTTTTATTTTTCAAGAGAGCTCGACCTTCACGAGAATACAGGAGTTGTTATTGTGATTTGTGAATGTGAACAAAATATCTCTGTTGTGTTTTTGTGCGGTGTGAACAGATTTAAGGGGTCATAGTAAACAATCTTGGAGTGAAACAGGGACAAGAGAGAGAGACTGATAAAGAGAGAGAGAAACAGAGACTCTAACCACTTCTGGGAAAATTGGAAAACACTTAACAAACAACAACACGAAGAGCTATCTATCCAAAATGGAGATGTATGGGTAAACCACTTCTCCAATCTTTTTGGCCCTATAACAGAGAACAAACAGCAAAAACATATACATGATCAAATGCAAATCTTAGAATCAACTATGAAAGACTACCAGAACCCACTGGATTCTCCAATTACATTGAATGAACTACAGGACAAAATACAAACCCTCCAACCCAAAAAGGCCTGTGGTGTTGATGGTATCCTCAATGAAATTATAAAATATACAGACCACAAATTCCAATTGGCTATACATAAACTCTTTAACATCATCCTTAGCTCTGGCATCTTCCCCAATATAAACACACAAACAAAACAACGTAACGTGAAGTCCTCAGGCTAAACACAATACAAGCCTATACCCAGAACAAGATCCCACAACTAATGATAGCAAACAGGCTACTTAAGTATGATCCCCAATCAGAGACAACGAGCGACAGCTGCCTCTGATTGGGAATCACACCCGGCCAAACATAGAAACACAAAACCTAGAAAGTGAACATAGAAATAATAACATAGATCTCCACACCCTGACTCAACATACAAGAGTCCCATCAGTCAGGGCGTGACAGGAACCAAGGACTGATCATCCCAATCCACAAAAGTGGAGACAAATCTGACCCCAATAACTACCGTGGGATATGCGTCAACAGCAACCTTGGGAAATCCTCTGCATTATCATTAACAATGTACTGAACAAATGTCAAATTGGCTTTTTACCAAATTACCGAACGACAGACCACGTATTCACCCTGCACACCCTAATTGACAACCAAACAAAACAAAACAAAGGCAAAGTCTTCTCATGCTTTGTTGATTTCAAAAAAGCTTTTGACTCAATTTGGCTTGAGGTTCTGCTATACAAATTGATGGAAAGTGATGTTGGGGGAAAAACATTATAAAATCCATGTACACAAACAACAAGTGTGCGGTTAAGATTGGCAGAAAACACACACATTTCTTTCCACAGGGCCGTGGGGTGAGACAGGGATATATATCAACAAATTGGTGAGGGCACTAGAACAGTCTGCAGCACCCGGCCTCACCCTAGTAGAATCTGAAGTCAAATGTCTACTGTTTGCTGATGTTCTGGTGCTTCTGTCACCAACCAAGGAGGGCCTACAGCAGCACCTAGATCTTCTGCACAGATTCTGTCAGACCTGGGCCCTGACAGTAAATATAAGTAAGACAAAAATAATGGTGTTCCAAAAAAGGTCCAGTTGCCAGGACCACAAATACAAATTCCATCTAGACACCATTGCCCTAGAGCACACAACAAACTATACATACCTCGGCCTAAACATCAGCGCCACAGGTAACTTCCACAAAGCTGTGAATGATCTGAGAGACAAGGCAAGAAGGGCCTTCTATGCCATCAAAAGGAACATAAAATTCGACATACCAATTAGGATCTAGCTAAAAATACTTGAATCAGTTATATAACCCATTGCCCTTTATGGTTGTGAGGTCTGGGGTCCACTCACCAACCAATAATTCACAAAATGGGACAAACACCAAATTGAGACTCTGCATGCAGAATTCTGCAAAAATATCCTCAGTGTACAACGAAAAACACCAAATAATGCATGCAGGGCAGAATTAGGCCTATACCCGCTAATTATCAAAATCCAGAAAAGAGCTGTATATAACCACTTAAAAGGAAGTGATTCCCAAACCTTCCATAACAAAGCCATCACCTACAGAGAGATGAACTTGGAGAAGAGTCCCCTAAGCAAGCTGGTCCTGGGGCTTTGTTCACAAACACAAACAGACCCCACAGAGCCCCAGGACAACAACACAATTAGACCCAACCAAATCATGAGAAAACTAAAAGAGAATTACTTGACACATTGGAAATAATTAACAAAAAAACAGAGCAAACTATAATGCTATTTGGCCCTAAACAGAGAGTACACAGTGGCAGAATACCTGACCACTGTGACTGACCCAAACTTAAGGAAAGCTTTGACTATGTACAGACTCAGTGAGCATAGCCTTGCTATTGAGAAAGGCCGCCATAGGCAGACCTGGCTCTCAAGAGAAGACAGACTATGTGCACACTGCCAACAAAATGAGGTGGAAACTGAGCTGCACTTCCTAACCTCCTGCCAAATGTATGACCATTTTAGAGACACATATTTCCCTCAGATTACAGAGATCCACAAAGAATTTGAAAACAAACCCAATTTTGATAAACTCCCTTATCTACTGGGTGAAATACCACAGTGTGCCATCACAGCAGCAAGATTTGTGCCCTGTTGCCACAAGAAAAGGGCAACTAGTGAAGAACAAACGCAATTGTAAATACAACCCATATTTATGTTTAATTATTTTCCCATTTGTACTTTAACTATTTGCACATTGTTACAACACTGTATATATACATAATGACATTTGAAATGTCTTTATTCTTTTGTAACTTCTGAGTGTAATGTTTACTGTTAATTTTTATTGTTTATTTCACTTTTGTTTGCTATCTACATCACTTGCTTTGGCAATGTTAACAATGTTTCCCATGCCAGTAAAGCCATTAAATGTAATTGAATTAAATGTAATTGAATTGAGAGAGGGAGCGAGAGAGAGCGAGAGAGAGCGAGAGAGAGAGAGCGAGAGAGAGACAGCGAGAGAGAGAGAGCGAGAGAGAGACAGAGAGAGAGAGAGAGAGAGAGAGAGCGAGAGAGAGAGAGAGAGAGAGAGAGAGAGAGAGAGAGAGAGAGAGAGAGAGAGAGAGAGAGAGAGAGAGACAGTGCTTGACACAGGAATAATGAAATAAGTGACTTGGTTCTGAAGTACTCTCATAGTGCTCTGATTCATGCAGTAGGAAAGAGAGGGACAAAAGAGAGACAAACAGAAAACACCCACACTAATCTCTAGTTGCCATGATGACAGTGAAATGATCATCCTCCCGTACAAAACATTTACATTTGAGTCATTTAGCAGATGTTCTTATCCAGAGCGACTTACAGTTTGTGCATTCGCCTTAAGGTAGCTAGTTGAGACAACCACATATCACTGTCATAGTAATTAAAACTTTTCCTCAACGAAGCAGCTAACAAAGTCAGTACTAGTAAGAGAAGACAGGTGTTGGTGACAGGAAGACAAGGGTCAATACAGGTGTTAGTGACTGGAAGACAAGGGTCTAGACAGGTGTGAGTGACAGGAAGACAAGGGTCAAGACAGGTGTTAGTGACAGGAAGACAAGGGTCAAGAGAGGTCTTGGTTAAATTAGTTGGATTTGGATACAGTTCCCTGGTGTTATGAATTGAGTAATTGTTGCACCCACAGCCCACTGTTTCAGTTGATGGAGATAGAAAACATAGGAAACATCTTTCCACCGATCAATCAGTTTAGGGAGAATGTCAGCGCTGCGGACATTCTCCTCTTTACTCTATCCTAACTGTAGACCAGCAAGCTTAGCTGGAATGTTTTCCGCAAATCTCCCACTGACATCAAATGCTTGGGTTACGTAAAAAGTAAATCAGTTGAACCAGAACTAAAATCTTGAGTACCATTTATGTTACGTAGTCTGAGATTACAGAAAAAGGTATATTGGCAAGGTCTGAGCTATGCGCACAGACCTCAAGTGTACTTGAGTGAACCAGCCTACAGAGGATGGGTACTGTATATGGAGTCTCTAACCTGTGTTGTGTGTGTTCTTCTGACAGACGTGGACGACTGCCAGTCCAACCCGTGTCTAAACGGAGGCACCTGCATTGACAAGATCGACTCATTCATCTGCCTCTGTCTGCCCAGCTACGCAGGAGACGCCTGTGAGAAGGGTAAGAGAGTGCATGCACACTGGTCAACACACGGAGCGAGCATGGAAACACACACGACATAGCAGTGGAGGCTGCTGAGGGGTGGACGGCTCATAATAATGTCTGGAACGGAGTGAATGGTATGGCATCAAACACATGGAAACCATGGAAACCATGTGTTTGATGTATTTGATACCATTCCACATACTCCGCTCCATTACCACGAGTCCGTCCTCCCCAATTAAGGTGCCACCAACCTCCTGCGCTACATAGTCAATACACACAGCCTAAACAGAGAGCGAGACAGATAGATTATCACTTTTATCTGAAATACACAGATATGTGGCATTTGCACCTCTCCAAATGATACAGTGGAATGTGTTAACTGAGCTCCCACCCAAGTAATTTCCCTATGAAGCTAGTCCCTTATGAAAAAAAAATGTTTTGTTTTTACTACTTCTATATGTGTAGCTCTGTAAATGTGTGGACGGTAAATACATAGATGTCAATTGGGTGCAGGATGATGTTGTCTGTCAGCATGCTGGTCTGTCAGTCTCCTTGGTCAGTGTTGTCATGTGTAGGATGATCTTACAGCTGAAGTCCCAGAGAGCACTATTTCACTGCAGTATCACTCACCGGCTATCAGGCAGTGTATCTGTCTGCACCTGTCACTATGCTGCAGAGAACTGGCTGATGGATGGACACCGAAACACACACACGCACTCAAACGAGCGCAAATACACACACACATTCAAACGAGCGCAGATACACACACACACACACACACTCAAACGAGCGCAGATACACACACACACACACACACACACACACACAAACGAGCGCAGATACACACACACACACACACACACACACACACACACACACACACTCAAACGAGCGCAGATACACACACACACACACACACACACTCAAACGAGCGCAGATACATACACACACACTCAAATGAGCGCAGATACACACATACACACATACACACACACACACACACCTCACTGGCTTCAGAGTCAGTCAAACAGCCCACACCTCCTCATGTGTGCAGAAACACTAATAGCAATGAGGGTTAATGAACCCATAACCCTTGGAGTTATTAATGAGTCCTCATAATGCAGAGAGGAACAGCGTGTGCTGAGAATGGAAATGGAGGATCCATGATTGCAGGTTTAATGGTTCATTCAGTCTCAACGACATTAAAGTGTGGCCTTGCAGGTCCTGAGAGGCACAATACTGGTTGAAAGGTTGAGAGGATATGAGAATAATCCTCTCTTCTTCTCTCCACCTCTCTCTCTCTTCTTCTCTCTGTCACCGTCCCTCTTTTCCTCTGTCTTCCTACTCTCCTCTATCTCCCTTCCTCCCCTTATGTTTTTCACTCACTCTCCTTCTCTCTTCCTTGCCTCCTTTATTTGTCTTTCTTTGTCCCCTCCCGTCTCCCGTACTCGTACCTCTCTCTCCCATCCCTCTCTAGACGTTGAGGGATGTGAGCATGGATGGAGGAAGTTCCATGGCCACTGCTACAGGTACGTGAGAAAGAAGACCTGACTACGAACCTACCCTCTAAACATTCATCTATATCAGGGGTGTCAAACTAATTTTCCCAGTGGGCCGCATTCGGTCTTCACCGAGGTCCGGAGGGCCACACTTAAAATGGATCTGGCCTGCAGGCCTTGAGTTTGAGACGTCATCTATATCATGTTGTTGTTGTTTATCCTGTTGATACAGTATAGCCTTGATTTCCAGGCTTAGTAGCTGAGGGATGAAGGACGTTTGAATAACACAATAGAAATGTAAAGGTAATTTCCGACTGAGTCGACATAGCAGCGTTTACGGTGCCTTTACATTTCAATCACGCTGTCACGCTGAACTTCCGCAATGCAGATTGAATAGAGCCCTAGTATTGATCTAACATATATACCCGTCTTCTTCACTTCAGGTACTTCTCTCACAGACACACCTGGGAGGATGCAGAGAAGGACTGCAGAGAGCAGAGCGCCCACCTCAGCAGTGTCACCTCGGTCACCGAGCAGGAGTTCATCAACGGGCTGGGCCATGATAACGCCTGGATCGGCCTGAATGATCGCACAGTGGAGGAGGACTTCCAGTGGACTGATGCCAATGAACTGGTGAGATTCCATATTCCTCTCTGTGAATAATAGCTCATATTATGCTCAGTTTGGGAATATACTGCATTGTACAGTATGTGATTTATACCTGTACTTGAACCTCAAAGTTGGAACACTTTGTGTGTAAAGTGTATCTGTGTACAACAGACAATATACACGCCATTTAGCAGACGCTTTTATCCAAAGCGACTTACAGTCATTCATGCATACATTTTAAGTACGGGTGCTCCCGGGAATTGAACCCGCTATGCTGGCATAGCAAGGTCCGTGCTCTACCAACTTAGCTACAGAAGAGCATACATAGGACCCCATGTATAAACAGCTGTGTATTACTTTATAACAGATTTAAAGCCAAGATGAATACAGTGTAACATAAGTGTGTGGTATTGTGTAGGTGTATGAGAACTGGAGGGAGAACCAGCCTGATAACTTCTTTGCGGGAGGAGAGGACTGTGTGGTGACCATCGCCCATGAGGACGGCAAGTGGAACGACGTGCCCTGCAACTACAACCTGCCCTACATCTGCAAGAAAAGCACAGGTAGGATCACAGTACTTAACATAGCCATGGTACAACCAGCTCCATGTCTTCAGAAAGGCACAGGTAAAACAACAAGGATGCATTTACAATAGCGTCCTCAATACGTTTAAAAAAACAAAACAAAATGGTGGGTTCCTACTGGATAGCGGCTTTAAACTGGGTGGTGGCTAGAAACAGTATGTTACAGGTGAAGTCGGAAGTTTACATACACCTTAGCCAAATACATTTAAACTAAGTTTTTCACTATTCCTGACATTTAATCCTAGTAAAAATTCCCTGTTTTAGGTCAGTTAGGATCACCACTTTATTTTAAGAATGTGAAATGTCTGAATAATAGTAGAGATAATTATTTATTTCAGCTTTTATTTATTTCATAACATTCCCAGTGGGTCAGAAGTTTACTTACACTCAATTAGTATTTGGTAGTATTGCCTTTAAATTGTTTAACTTGGGTCAAACGTTTCGGGTAGCCTTCCACAAGCTTCCCACAATAAGTTGGGTGAATTTTGGCCCATTCCTCCTGACAGAGCTGGTCTAACTGAGTCAGGTTTGTAGGCCTCCTTGCTCGCACACGCTTTTTCAGTTCTGCCCACAAATGTTCTATAGGATTGAGGTCAGGGCTTTGTGATGGCCACTCCAATACCTTGACTTTGTTGTCCTTAAGCCATTTTGCCATAACTTTGGAAGTATGCTTGGGGTCATTGTCCATTTGGAAGAGCCATTTGCGACCAAGCTTTAACTTCCTGACTGATGTCTTGAGATGTTGCTTCAATATATCCACATCATTTTCCTTCCTCATGATGACATCTATTTTGTGAAGTGCACCAGTCCCTCCTGCAGCAAAGCACCCTGTCAGCGTCTGGGTGAAGTGGGGAAACGGAATCAGGCGCAGGACACAGAACTGAGAGATAAATGGCTTTACTAGACTCAAAGTAAACCATAGCAAACCCTCCACGCAGGGAAGAGCAAAACAACAGCTCAACAGACGATGTAACAAAGAACAATCACGCACACACCCAGGAGGGAAAACAGAGGTAATTATAGGGAAACTAATAAGCCTAATGAGTAACAGGTGTGAATAATAAAGACAGAACTAGTGAGACACAGAAACATCGATCGGTGGCAGCTAGTACTCCGGTGACGATGACCGCCGAAGCCTGCCCGAGCGAGGAGGAAGGGCAGCCTCGGCCATATCCGTGACACCATTCATCCACCGCAGGAACCTCGATCTGGCTCTGATGCCACGGTGCCAGGACCGGCTGGTAACCTAGTACACACTGAAAAGGAGACAGGTCAGTGGAGGAGTGGCGGAGGGAATTTTGTGCCATCTCTGCCCAGGGGATGTAAACTGACCGATCCCCCTGCCGGTCCTGGCAATACGACCTCAGTAACCTACCCACATCCTGGTTTACTCTCTCCACCTGCCCATTACTCTCGGGGTGAAAACCTGAGGTCAGGCTGACCGAGACCCCCAGATGGTCCATAAACGCCTTCCAGACCCTCGATGTGAACTGGGGACCCTGATCAGACACTATATCCTCAGGCACTCCGTAGTGCCGGAAGACGTGAGTAAACAGGGCCTCTGCGGTCTGTAGGGCAGTAGGGAGACCGGGCAAAGGAATGAGACGACAGGACTTAGAAAACCTATCCACAACGACCAGGATCGTGGTGTTACCCTGTGACGGAGGAAGATCCGTAACAAAGTCCACCGATAGGTGTGACCACGGCCGCTGTGGAACGGGGAGAGGTTGTAATTTACCTCTGGGCAGGTGTCTAGGTGCCTTGCACTGGGCACACACCGAACAGGAAGAAACATAAACCCTCACGTCCTGAGCTAAGGTAGGCCACCAGCACTTCCCACTAAGACAGCGCACTGTCCGACCAATGCCAGGATGGCCAGAAGAGGGTGACGTGTGAGCCCAATAAATCAAACGATCGCGAACCTCGGACGGAACGTACGCACGACCCACTGGACACTGGGGGGGAAGTGGGCTCCGTGCGTAATGCCCGCTCGATGTCCGCGTCAACCTCCCATACCACCGGTGCCACCAGACAAGAAGCCGGAAGTATGGGAGTAGGCTCCCTGGTCCGATCCTCTGAGTCATATAGCCAGGACAGAGCATCTGCCTTAGCATTCTGGGAACCTGGTCTATATGATAGGGTGAACACAAAACACGTGAAAAACATGGCCCACCTTGCCTGACGAGGATTCAGTCTCCTCGCTGCCCGAATGTACTCCAGATTGCGGTGGTCAGTCAAAATGAGAAAAGGGTGTTTAGCCCCCTCAAGCCAATGTCTCCACACCTTAAGAGCTTTCACAACAGCTAACAGCTCCCGATCGCCCACGTCATAGTTTTGCTCCGCCGGGCTGAGCTTCTTCGAGAAGAAAGCACAGGGGCGGAGTTTGGGAGGCTTACCCGAGCGCTGAGACCGTACAGCTCCTATCCCCGCCTCGGACGCGTCCACCTCGACTATAAATTGCAAGGAAGGATCCGGATGAGCCAGCACGGGAGCCGTGGTGAACAGCGCCTTCAGCTGACCAAAAGCCCTGTTTGCCTCAGCTGACCACTGCAGGCGCACCGATCCGCCCTTTAGCAAAGAGGTTATGGGAGCTGCTACCTGGCCAAAGCCCCGGATAAATCTCCGGTAGTAGTTGGCAAAACCCAAAAATCGCTGCACCTCCTTTACCGTGGTAGGAGTCGGCCAATTACGCACGGCTGAAATGCGGTCACACTCCATCTCGACCCCTGACTCTGACAAGCGGTATCCTATGAAGGAGACGGACTGTTTGAAGAACAGACATTTCTCAGCCTTAACGTACAGGTCATACACCAACAGTCTACCAAGCACCTTGCGCACCAGGGACACATGCTCGTCGCGTGTAGCGGAGTATATTAGAATATAATCTATATACACCACTACACCCTGTCCGTGCAGGTCCCTGAAAATCTAATCAACAAAGGATTGAAAGACTGAGGGAGCATTCATCAACCCGTACGGCATGACGAGGTACTCATAGTGACCAGAGGTGGTACTAAATGCCGTCTTCCACTCGTCCCCCTCCCGGATACGGATCAGATTGTACGCGCTCCTGAGGTCCAATTTTGTGAAGAAGCGCGCCCCGTGCAATGACTCCGTCATACTAGCAATGAGAGGAAGAGGATAGCTGTATTTTACGGTTATCTGATTGAGACCTCGATAGTCAATGCACGGGCGTAAACCTCCATCCTTTTTCTTCACAAAAAAGAAACTAGAGGAGGCAGGGGAAGTGGAGGGCCGAATGTATCCCTGTCCCAGAGATTCGGTGACATATGTCTCCATAGCCACCGTCTCCTCCTGTGACAGAGGATACACGTGACTCCTGGGAAGTCAGCGCCCTCACGGAGATCTATCGCACAATCCCCTCGTCGATGGGGTGGTAATTGAGTCACCTTCTTCTTACAGAAGGCGAGAGCCAAATCGGCATATTCTGAGGGAATGTGCATTGGGGAGACATGGTTTGGACTCTCCACCGTGGTTGCCTCTACGGAAACACCTACACACCTCCCCGAGCACTGAGGTGACAATCCCTTGAGAGCCCTCTGTTGCCACGAAATACTGGGGTCATGGGTGGCTAGCCAGGGAAGGCCCAGCACCACGGGAAACGCAGGAGTATCAATAAGGAAGAGACTAATTCTCTCCTCATGACCCCCCTGTGTCTCCATCCGAAGTGGAACTGTGACCTCCCTAACCATACCTGACCCTAATGGGCGACTATCTAGGGCACGTATGGGGAAGGGCACATCTAAAGGCAATATAGGAATCCCTAATCTATGCGCATCCAGTCTATCCATGAAATTCCCAGCTGCGCCGGAATCTACGAGCGCCCTATGCTGGGAAGGTGGGGAAAACTCAGGAAAAATAACATTTATCATCATGTGAGCAACAGGGAGCTCTGGGTGAGTTGGGTGCCTACTCACCTGGGATGGTCCCCCAGAACCCTGCCTGCTGCCTCGATTCTATGAGGGTCTTCTCCTGCACCGGCCCGCAGTGCGGCCACAGTGCGGCCACAGTTGGTGCAGGAGACCACCCCCTTGCTCGTTCTCTCCGCATCAGCACTTCCAAGCTCCATAGGTGTGGACTCGGAAGTGCTGGGGGATGGACTGGACGGACCCTGATCTGGACGTCCGCGGGTAGCCAACAGGTTATCCAGCCGGATTGATAAATCTACCAGCTGGTCCAGGTTAAGATTAGTGTCCCTGCAGGACAGCTCCCGACGAACGTCCTCCCATAGACTGCATCGGTAGTGATCAATTAGGGCTCTCTCGTTCCATCCCGCGCTGGCTGCCAGTGTCCTGAAATCCAGGGCGAATTCCTGTGCGCTCCTCCCTCCCTGGCTGAGGTAAAACAGACGCTGCCCCGCTGCTCTCCCCTCAGGCGGATGATCAAATACTGCCCGGAAACGGCGGGTAAAATCCTCATAACGAACGGACTCAGCGTCTATTCCACTCCACTCCGCGTTGGCCCATTCCAGGGCTCTGCCCGACAGACAGGAGATGAGGGCGGACACGCTCTCGTATCCCGAGGGAGCCGGGTGGATGGTGGCCAGGTAAAGCTCCACCTGGAGCAGGAAACCCTTACACCCGGCAGCTGTCCCATCGTATTCCCTCGGGAGCGAGAGCCAAATACCACTGGACCCAGGGGTTGAGGGTCTTGATGGAGGAGAAATCGGTGAAGGAGGAGGTGTAGAAAACCCAACTCTTTCCCATCGATCCATGGTGTTGATCACTTGATCCAGAGCTGAACCTAGTCTCTGCAGCATGGTCGCGTGCTGGTGGATGCGTTCCTCCACCGAAGCGTTGGGATCGGGCGTGCCTGCTGACTCCATAAAGGGTGCGTGATTCTGTCAGCGTCTGGGTGAAGTGGGGAAACGGAATCAGGCGCAGGACACAGAACTGAGAGATAAATGGCTTTACTAGACTCAAAGTAAACCATAGCAAACCCTCCACGCAGGGAAGAGCAAAACAACAGCTCAACAGATGATGTAACAAAGAACAATCACGCACACACCCAGGAGGGAAAACAGAGGTAATATAGGGAAACTAATAAGCCTAATGAGTAACAGGTGGGAATAATAAAGACAGGACTAGTGAGACACAGAAACATTGATCGGTGGCAGCTAGTACTCCGGTGACGACGACCGCCGAAGCCTGCCCGAGCGAGGAGGAGGTGCAGCCTTGGCCGTATCCGTGACACACCCTCACAGCATGATGCTGCCACCCCCGTGCTTCAGGGTTGGGATGGTGTTCTTCGGCTTGCAAGTACTCCCTTTTTCCTCCAAATATAACGATGGTCATTATGGCCAAACAGTTCTATTTTTGTTTCATCAGACCAGAGGACATTTCTCCAAAAAGTACGATCTTTGTCCCCATGTGCAGTTGAAAACTGTAGTCTGGCTTTTTTATGGCGGTTTTGGAGCAGTGGCTTCTTCCTTGCTGAGCTGCCTTTCAGGTTATGTCGATATAGGACTCGTTTTACTGTGGATATAGATACTTTTGTACCTTTTTCCTCCAGCATCTTCACAAGGTCCTTTGCTGTTGTTCTGGGATTGATTTGCACTTTTCGCACCAAAGTATGTTCATCTCTAGGAGACAGAACGCATCTCCTTCCTGAGCGGTATGACGGCTGCGTGGCCCCATGGTGTTTATACTTGCGTACTATTGTTTGTACAGATGAACGTGGTACCTTCAGGCGTTTGGAAATTTCTCCCAAGGATGAACCAGACTTGTGGAGGTCTACAATTCCTTTTCTGAGGTCTTGGCGGATTTCTTTTGATTTTCCCATGATGTCAAGCAAAGAGGCACTGAGTTTGAAGGTAGGCCTTGAAATACATCCACAGGTACACCTCCAATTGACTCAAATGATGTCAATTAGCCTATCAGAAGCTTCTAAAGCCATGACATCATTTTCTGGAATTTTCCAAGCTGTTTAAAGGCACAGTCAACTTAGTGTATGTAAACTTCTGACCCACTGGAATTGTGATACAGTGAATTATAAGTGAAATAATCTGTCTGTAAACAATTGTTGGAAAAATTACTTGCATCATGCACAAAGAAGATGTCCTAAACGACTTGCCAAAACTATAGTTTGTTAACAAGAAATTTGTGAAGTGGTTGAAAAACAAGTTTTAATGACTCTAACCTAAGTGTATGTAAACGTCCGACTTCAACTGTATGTTCATTTGGAGGAACAAAGTCATCATGGCAAATAAGGATTTAGGAAATACTGTTTCATATGACTTTCCAAGACCTCTTCAATTTACTCTACAAAGACTTGTATCCTCTGGTGATTGCTCTGTTTTGTCAATAGAATGTCTGGCAAGGAAACACTCACACTTGACATAAGAGTGTAAGAGCGTAATTACAGTTTTATGAACTCAAGTTGCCAAAATAAATATTGCCTTTTGATTAAACATGTCAATCACAGTGTTTAGTTCAACTGGTTATTATTGACTAGTGGAAGACACATTGTGAAGCTTCAGTCTTTATTTTCCTTATCGACAGACAGACAGAAGAGTGCTATTTCTAAAGAACTGAAATTCCCCTAGATACAACCCGATCAATTTGCGGGCTGTCAAACCTCAATAGGCACAATGAGCTCTCATATTTTCCTCTACAACGTGTGAAAAGAGAATAAAGCTCCAACATTGCTGACACAACAAACAGAAGTCTGAATCACATTTCATATTTCAAACTTCCAGTTGATCTAAACAGAAACCTCCATCACTTTCTGTTGCCGTTTTATCTCACCCTACATGTTTACTTGGGCTGCAAAGCTAACATTTGCCATCTTGTATAAAACTGGCATTAAATTGCCAGTGACTGTCTTGGCCGCAGATCTATCTCTGAAGTCCCACAATGCATCTCTGTGTCAGGTGCCCCTGATGTAACTGTGGAATGAGACCTGGAGCAAGGATTTATGGGATAGCCTGAAGCCTAGCTCCTTGAATACAGAGAGAAAGAGAGAGAGAGAGGAAAATGGAGAGAGAGAGAGAGAGAGAGAGAGAGAGAGAGAGAGAGGAAAATAGAGAGAGAGAGAGAGAGAGAGAGAGGAAAATAGAGAGAGAGAGAGAGAGAGAGAGAGAGAGAGAGAGAGAGAGAGAGAGAGAGAGAGAGACAGAGACAGAGACAGAGACAGAGAGAGAGAGAAAAAGACATAGAGCGAGAGAGGCAGAGGAAGAGAGAGAGAGAGAGAGAGAGACAGAGAGAGAGAGAGAGAGAGGCTGAGAAAGAGAGAGAGAGACAGAGAAAGAGAGAGAGGCAGAGAAAGAGAGAGAGAGGCAGAGAAAGAGAGAGAGAGACAGAGAAAGAGAGAGAGAGAGAGGCAGAGAAAGAGAGAGAGAGACAGAGAAAGAGAGAGAGTGAGCGAGAGAGACAGAGAGAGAGAGAGAGAGAGAGAGAGGCAGAGAAAGAAAGAGGGAGGGGAGAATATGGGAGCTGCCTTGGTTCTCTAATGCTTGGCAGAGCACCACGCCAACTGCAGAGCAGAGCACCACGCCAACTGCAGAGCACCATGCCAACTGCAGAGCACCACGGCAACTGCAGAGCACCACGGCAACTGCAGAGCACCACGCCAACTGCAGAGCACCACGCTAACTGCAGAGCACCACGCCAACTGCAGAGCACCACGCTAAATGCAGAGCACCACGCTAACTGCAGAGCACCACGCCAACTGCAGAGCACCCATTTTCTCCCTTTGAGCAGCACTCGATCTCTCTCCAATTCTCCTCAGGTATAGGATTCAGTAGCAAGAGTGCCACCTAGGGAGAAAAAACAGGATTTGCAAGCCAGATACCATTTCTACAGTACACACTGTATCTTCTTCGTTGTTGCTCAACACTTACTTAATTGATTTAACTAAATTAATTGACTTAATTGTTAATCTCGTCCCATCTGACAGTGCTTTGTGGAACCCCGCCCTCCGTGGAGAATGCCCATCTGATTGGCCGTCGGCGGTCCCACTATGACATCCATGCAGTGGTGCGTTACCAGTGTGCCGAAGGTTTCTACCAGCGCCACATCCCCACCGCGCGTTGCCGGGCCGACGGCACCTGGGACCGGCCCAAGATCATCTGCACAAAGTGTGAGTAACAAACAGCAGATTTTGTTTAAAATATATAAATATATACAGTGGTGTGAAAAAGTGTTTGCCCCCTTCCTGATTTCTTATTTGTTTGCATGTTTGTCACACTTACATGTTTCAGATCATCAAACAAATTTTAATATTAGTTAAAGATAACACAAGTAAACACAAAATGCAGTTTTGAAATGAAGGTTGTTATTATTAAGGGAAAACAAAATCCAAACATACATGGCCCTGTGTGAAAAAGTGTTTGCCCCCCCTGTTATAACACAACTCAACTGTGGTTTATCACACCTGAGTTCAATTCCTCTAGCACACCCAGGCCTGATTACTGCCACACCTGTTCTCAATCAAGGAATCACTTAAATAGGACCTGCCTGACAAAGTGAAGTAGACCAAAAGATCCTCAAAAGCTAGACATCATGCCAAGATCCAAAGAAATTCAGGAACAAATGAGAAAGAAAGTAATTGAGATCCATCAGTCTGGAAAAGGTTATAAAGCCATATCTAAAGCTTTGGGACTCCAGCGAACCACAGTGAGAGCCATTATCCACAAATGGCGAAAACATCGAACAGTGGTGAACCTTCCCAGGAGTGGCCGGCCGACCAAAATTACCCCAAGAGCGCAGCGACGACTCATCCAATAGGTCACAAAAGACCCCACAACAACATCCAAAGAGCTGCAGGCCTCACTTGCCTCAGTTAAGGTCAGTGTTCATGACTCCACCATAAGAAAGAGACTGGGCAAAAATGGCCTGCATGGCAGAGTTCCAAGACGAAAACCACTGCTGAGCAAAAATAACATTAAGGCTCGTCTCATTTTTGCCAGAAAACATCTTGATGATCCCCAAGACCTTTGGGAAAATACTCTGTGGACTGACGAGACAAAAGTTGAAATCTGGCGTAAAAGTAACACCGCATTTCAGAAAAAGAACATCATACCAACAGTAAAATATGGTGGTGGTAGTGTGATGGTCTGGGCCTGTTTTGCTGCTTCAGGACCTGGAAGACTTGCTGTGATAAATGGAACCATGAATTCTGCTGTCTACCAAAAAATCCTGAAGGAGAATATCCGGCCATCTGTTCGTGACCTCAAGCTGAAGCGAACTTGGGTTCTGCAGCAGGACAATGATCCAAAACACACCAGCAAGTCCACCTCTGAATGGCTGAAGAAAAACAAAATGAAGACTTTGGAGTGGCCTAGTCAAAGTCCTGACCAGAATCCTATTGAGATGCTGTGGCATGACCTTAAAAAGGCAGTTCATGCTCGAAAACCCTCCAATGTGGCTGAATTACAACAATTCTGCAAAGATGAGTGGGCCAAAATTCCTCCACAGCGCTGTAAAAGACTCATTGCAAGTTATCGCAAACGCTTGATTGCAGTTGTTGCTGCTAAGGGTGGCCCAACCAGTTATTAGGTTGTAGGGGGCAATCACTTTTTCACACAGGGCCATGTGGGTTTGGATTTTGTTTTCCCTTAATAATAACAACCTTCAGTTCAAAATTGCATTTTGTGTTTACTTGTGTTATCTTTGACTAATGTTTAAATTTGTTTGATGATCTGAAACATTTAAGTGTGACAAACATGCTAACTAATAAGAAATCAGGAAGGGGGCAAACACTTTTTCACACCACTGTATATATATATATATATATATATGTGTTGTCTTATGCAACCTTTTTCTCGGATAACAAACCTTTATTCACCCAGGTAGGCTTTTCTGTATAAACATTAGTGTATTCCTTCTGGTATGGGCTGAATAAGAAACAGAGAAGGTAACTGTTGTCACTGCACCAACTCCCTGTGATCCCCTCCCTCAGCTCGGCGATCCCACCGGTACCGCCGCAACCACCGCCACGGCCAGCGCCGGGAGCGCAGGAACCACAGGAGATACGGAGGAGAGGCACACATGGAGAGGGGAGAGGACGCACACAGCCAATAATGAACCAAATACTACACCTCCCACAATGCCCTGCGCCTGACCCCTGACCCTTGACCTATCCTGGGGCTGAGTGGATCAACCAGTCAGGCCTCACAATGGACAATAGTTGACATCTGAACGTTCTCTTTTCCTGACCTATTTCAGTCTGTCTCTTTAGGTTGAAATCTCACTTGAGACACTGTATGCGTGCAAAACTTTAACTTTCATGCAAATTACCTATTGACGTCAGTGCAAAAAAAGTTCAGTGTTTCGCACCCATATCTCATGTTTGGATTTGTCGCTTTGTTGTTGATTTTGTCTACCCCATGTCCGTTACTTACAACAGTAATAATCTTTCTCTCGCTAACACGGTTGCTAATACTGTATCTTAGAAACAGCAAATCCTTGACATATCTATGAATAACCTATTCTCACATAAACATAAAGACAGTGGCATATGTGTGTGTGCGTGTGTGTCTGTTCGTGCGTGTGAATGTATGTGTGTGAGAGAGAGTGTGCATCCTATGCGAGTGTGTTTTGATACGTTTGAAGCTTGTTCTACATCTCAGAACATCCTAATGTTTGTGTTCTGCTTATAAAGCACAGATGTAATGAATGAGTTAGTTAGCTAGTTAGCTTTCAGTCCCAAATAACCCAGAGCTTTTGTCTGTATCCTGTACTTGTTACGTTTCCTTAGGGCTCCTGAATAGCAGGACTATTTTATTATTCAACTTACGTGCCATTTTCTAATATTTGCTAACTTTTTATGTCACGTCACTATTTATTATGGACTCTTCACTAGTTAATATATGTTGAATTTTTACATAATCCAACAAGGCAATGTAATACATTTTTTCTTTTATGTACCATTCTCTTACAATCAAAAAGTGTTAACCAAAAAACAAGTTAACCCTTTGATTGCCTGTACTGTACTGTAAATACTGTGGTGTTTGTTTGTTTGTTATTGACTGACACTTGATTGATACCTGACCCTTGTCCAGCCATGTGTTCCCCATCGCCCTCTCAACTAATAACTAAAACAGCCCCATCGATCTATATGGAATAAAATAGGATAGATCAAAATACTACAGACTGGGACAAAACCTTCCCAAGATATTTACTCAATGGTTAATAGTCCCAGTCTTTGCACGGCTCCAATATATGATGGGTAGGATGCCATGACTCATGATGAATCTGGTCCTTCTGAGTTTTGATTGGTCGTTACCCCTTTTTTGGTGTTGTTATGATGTCCTGTCCAGCTGTTGTGTTCCATTCTTAATAAAGCTAAAAAAATAAACAAATGAACGACAACAATGTATCTGGTCAGTTTTGTGATTGAAGCTGGCCTCTAACGCTAGTATTTCTACGTTTCTACCACATCACTCCTACACTGTACCTCAGACACGGGAGACTGACAGCAGTTTATATATAACACACGTCTCCTAAAACAAAGTAATCAAACCAAACCGAATGCTTCTACTAATTTACCAGCTCTGTTTTTCACCTCACTTCATTCTCTGCCCAGAGAAAGAGGCCATTCTGGCCAATAGGTTTCATTCTGTCAGGAACAAAACAGGTCTCTGCCCAGAGAAAGAGGCCATTCTGGCCAATAGGTTTCATTCTGTCAGGAACAAACAGGTCTCTGCCCAGAGAAAGAGGCCATTCTGGCCAATAGGTTTCATTCTGTCGGGAACAAACAGGCAATCTTCTCCTCTCTTTGGTTTCTGTTTTGAACGGATTGTGGAGGTAAAATACATGTAAGAATGGACGCTATAGAGGAAAATACATCTAAAAGAATTAACCCAATAAAATAAAGTTAATCTAAAGCAATGGGTCCAATACCACCACTGGTAGTTTAATCTCACTTTGGCTTGTCGCCTCTTGGCTCAGTTGGCTCTGAGACCTGACCCCCCTCTCTGTCACAGCCTGATTCACTGGGATAGAAACTGAGGAGCAGAGAGAGGTTTTGGAGAGTGAAAAGAAGATAATATGTAAATAAACTCTGTCTGGAAAAGTTGCTTGACTCTGCTGAAATCAGGTGACAGTGATTGCCGTACAGGTGAACCACAGACATTAAAACCAGAGTTGAACATGTGGGAAGAGAGAGCATGCTTACTTTCCAGACATCAAACTTAGTTCAAAACAGAAGTCTGTCTTGTCAACAGTTTGATTTTGTATGACAATACTGTCTAGCTGGGGTTCACTTCTTATCAACTGATGACAGCAGAGGCCACCTGCCAGGCAGGCCAAAGTTTACTAGGCCACATGTGCACTGTCACTGACTACAGACAGGATCCAATGACATCATCAACCAGAGACGAGAGCGCAGCGGTCTTAGAGCAACACATACGACTCATTGAGAGTTTTGAACTGAAATAGACCAATGATTATTGATTCTGGTGAGAAAAAAAACACTCCAGCCAGAAGTTGCCCCAAACCACAGACCTAGGATTTCCCCCAGTCCAAAGCTTAACCATTAGGTGGTGGAAAAACATATCTGCCCCAACATCAATTGGTTATGGGCAACTATTATGATAAAAACAATGTTCCAGTGAAAGACTGAGCATCCCGCCACTTTCAGTATCTGATGAACCTCTGCCCTGTTAGCTCAATAGTCAGGCAGACTTGCATGAAAAAGGTAAACAGAGTATTTCACAAGAATAGAGATATGGACAAATATCAGGAGATACACCCACCCAGGACCAGAGTACAACTACTCAAAGAAACAGAATGGTGTAGTTGTACACACATTTTAATATATTCACATAACAAACATTTATTGTCGTAATTCTGTCCCAACCCCTCCAAAAATGGCCTACCTAACTGTCATTTGATTGATATTGCCATTTGTCCCCTCCTTCCATGGCCTCCTATAGTGGGCTCTCCAATCCCAACCACATCTTGTGAAACAAGCCTTGTTATCTGGTCTTATCAGCAGCACTACTACACACAAAAAAAAGAGTCCTAAACATGGTCCATAGTTTCACAGTTCATCTGATATAACTCTATGAGGCAAGGCTGGCCTGCTGTATCAGTGTCAGCGATCAGAGTCCAGGTTTATAGGCCTTTTAGTCCCTACTATACTATACCGCCTGGGACTGTCTCACTGACTCACTAGCCACATACATAAAGCCATGTCCACAAACAGGCTTTATCTGGCTCCAATAGTCCATGTAGGGAGTGCTGCTGCAGAGGTGATAGCATGTAGCAGGGTTCGGTTTTGGCTGCTTAATGCACTGTACTGTATTCCGCGGTCGTCGACATGGGGCTGAACTTTACTCCACAAGGCTCCAGCCAACAGAGGGAGCGGATGGTATAAAAAATGGAATTTAATTTGCTTGAAGTGTTCTAGATTAATATAACATTGTTTTGTGAATCTGAAAGGGTCACATTTCCAGAAGCATAGGTGGTTCGCCGCACCAAAACATTTGGGTTCTTTAGGATTGTGGGTCCAGTAGTTCTTGATCTTACAGTAGCATTCTAGACCATTAGCTCACAGAGTCCATGCTCAGTGGGAATTGTAGTGTTATGGGTTTAGTTGTCCTTCTTCTCCGGGCTGGTCTGTCCCTCAGGGACAGTAGGCATGAAGAATGTAGGGCTGATGCGGCATCGGATGGCTAGGAGGATCGGTACGGCTACATACAGCCCGTTTAGAATCATAACGGTCAACCATTTGTCTGTTGGGACCCGGTATGTGAAGGGGGTTCTGGAGTGGAGTGATCCCCCGATATGGCACCACTGGGTCTGGGGAAGGAGAGAAGAAGGGTGGGCGTTGGTGGGCGTTAGTGGAATAATAGGAACATAATAGGAACACAACAATTGTGTCAAAATATAATTTGTATCACAACTGCTATGTCAAATCCGTGGTACAACACACTGCATGTGAACTGCCATTGAAGCGACCAATAATATTACCTGGGCTATGGCCCCCGCGAAGAAGATGGCCCAGTCCAGCATCCAGGTACAACCAGGGTTCCTCAGCCCGTATATGAATGCAGCCAGCAGAGGCAACGCATAGAACAAATACACCAGCATCTGGAGCAATCAAATAACAAGACACGTGTCGTTAGACATCAAGACGGACGCAATGGCGACTACGCTATCAAGCAGTATGGAATAGGAACAAATATGGATAGTATGCCATAACGGACAATGGAATGAAGATCTATGTGTGTTTTACTCATTCTATTTTCTACAACTCACCGTGATCCTAGGGAAGACCACAGGGTCTTTGAGGTAAGGCTCAACTCACCGTGATCCTAGGGAAGACCACAGGGTCCTTGAGGTAAGGCTCAACTCACCATGATCCTAGGGAAGACCACAGGGTCCTTGAGGTAAGGTTCAACTCACCGTGATCCTAGGGAAGACCACAGGGTCCTTGAGGTAAGGCTCAACTCACCGTGATCCTAGGGAAGACCACAGGGTCCTTGAGGTAAGGCTCAACTCACCGTGATCCTAGGGAAGACCACAGGGTCCTTGAGGTAAGGCTCATACTGGTAGATATAGGTGAAGCAGGTATCCAGAGGACAGTCGAGGGCCACCTGAGTGAGAGAGAGGGTGAGTGAATGAATGAACAAATGAATGGATGGATGAATGAATGAATGAATGAATGGATGGGTGAATGAATGAATGAATGGATGAATGGGTGGATGAATGAATGAATTAATGGATGAATACATTAATGGATCAATGAATGAACAGATTAATCAATCAATCAATGAATGATGTACATTTCTGTTGGCTAAAGCAGAAACACACTGGCTACATGAACCCTATGATTCAGACTTAGGAAATGCACGCCTTTCCTACGCAATAGTTGCTATTCAGACTTACCTTATGCTGGTGCGTAACGGGCTTTGCAGGCATGGTTCCCTTGCCTGCGCTGAATACATTTATTTCAACCACTGAAAACCTTCCCACTTGCTGGCCAACAGATTTTCTCATGGAGTTTTCATTCAATAGGGTTTTCAGTAAATTTATTTAAGCCATCCCTTTAAATATGGTGTACCTTTAATTATAATTTTGGCGACAGACACTAGAATACATAGACAGAACGGGTTCAGAATATAGGGATTAATGAAAGAAAGCCATCAAAATAGATACATATTCGTCTCCGTTACAGCACCAATTGGTAGAATTCAAAATACTCTGATCTTGTAGATTATTTAGGCACATTTTGGGGTAAGGAAAGTATGTATGAATCATAAAAATAAAAATAACGTTTGGAGAGCCTTTATGCACTAAATATATTGATGAATCAAAAATACAGTGGTTAGATTCATCCTGAAAGTTGTCATATTATTCAATTGTTCAATCCATGAAATATTGGAAGGTGAGAAAAGTGTCCAATAGGAGTTGAACAGTAGTCCTATAAATGTACCCTAATAATCCTCACTAATCATGGAACTGTGATGACAACGGTCCAGTCATCATGAACCGTGTGCCAGGCTCCAGGTTTAAACTGCTACGTATGGTCTGTGTTCCTTAATGATTCAAATAGGCTACATGTCCCAAATTACTAACGATGTAATGAAATGATGCAAAATGTAAGGAAACTAACACTAAAGTGACAGGTATAAATGTATGTGGGTATATATAACTGACAGTGGCTACCGATAGTGGCTAATATTTAACATGATGCCATTTATTTTTTTATACAGTGAAAAGTCCAGGCATATAATTAAGACATTCTAGAAATCATAAATCAACTCGGTAGGTTTGGCGCTATACTATCTTTTGTGCATGGCAAGTTATAAGGCCAGCATTTCATAAACTTCACTGTGGAAACAGTGATATGTTGATATGCTTCAGTTTGCAGCCATATTACTGGTTTCACATTTGTCTCCATCGATCAGGTAAAATAGATCTAAAACAATTGTCATTTATATTTACAATCACCTTATCCAAACGGCTTACTTATTTACCTAGCTCTTATCAATAGCTCAGCCTCTTATCAATTTGTAAATTACAGTGCATGGAGAATGGTGTTATTTCTAATCGGGAAAAATAAAGTAGATGTTGTTTCACTTGGAACCAACAGGTTGCTCTACCTTATTCATCGTTTCATCGCGCGTAAAGGTGGTGGAATTATGAGGGAATTAAGTCAAGGTTAGAATCCAGCGTATCTGTAGACAAACCTCCGCCATACCTTCCTTTACTTGAGCTCCCCGCAAACAAATAGCGGGTCAATAGCATGGTATTCTCACGCTTAAGTTCAAGGTCAGAATATGCGTAGAGAGAAAAGTGCATAAAAAGTGAATTATGTTCCATTTACGCACGCTTAACTAGGGTCGGAATTCCCCCCAAAGTGAAGTGAGTGGTTGGTCTGTTACTCACAATGCCCCTGAAGACAGAGAAGGACATGGCTCCCAACAGTAGTAGAGACAGGATCAGGTCAACAGGCCTGTAGAGGAGACTTCTCTTCTGCGCTACTGCAATCTGAGGAATACAGACAAACACAACCTCTGTCAGTCCAACTGGGTTCCTGTACGTTTCAGGTATTCATCTGGGTATCTCACCTTGTCTGCAGGAATGATTGGCAGCTCTCTCTCTCTACTGAAGAGCAGGATGGCTCCCCAGATGGGCAGTAACAGGAAAGGAGTATTCCTCCAGAAGGCGGGATGAATGCTTGAACCATATTTACCTGCGCGAAGAGCCATGACAACATTAACATGCCTGTTCCTGATATACCTGTTTGCCACTATTTGGCCATGCTAGACTATACCAGAGAGTAACAGTAATGTCACTTTCTTTGAAACACACTCACCGATGACTACTCCTGGGATGAAGACGATCTGGTGGGCGATGGACGACCCGGCCCAGAACAGCGCTAGGCTGCGATAGGACTTCCTGTATGGATAGGAAATAGATTTAACCATCTAGCCAAAAATCGTATTGCCACTATTGGTACTACTGTAGAATCACTGTAACAAAGTGCCACTTACCCCCTGAACATGCGATGGATGATGATGAGGAAGAGGAGGAAGTGAAGGACGCCCTCCCAGTAATTCATCATCACAGCGTAAGCTGCACTCAGGTGGGGCTCCCCCTGACAGATCATCAGATCATGTTTAATAGCTGATATTTTGCTTATCAAAAAATGTGGTTTCTACAAAGGGTTTCCCAAACCACATAACAATCAATCAGCAATAACACAGACAGATCAGTGAGAGTCAGAACCTTGTTTTATAGTCTAGTACAAATGACTAGTTAATGAGGTAAAGGAAAGGACTAGTTAGTTCAACTAACCTTCTTCAGGTAGAAGCCCATGTAACCAGAGATGTAGCCATCCTGTTCCAAAGCATTGGTCAGGCCCACAAGACATGTGAAGGAAAACACAGCAAACACTGAAAGAGAGAGAGAGAGAGAGAGAGAGAGAGAGAGAGAGAGAGAGAGAGAGAGAGAGAGAGAGAGAGAGAGAGAGAGAGAGAGATCTCATTCAGTCTCACTCACGCATTCTTTTCAATTCTCTTCAACACCCCTTTATGATCAGATGTGTGTACGTGTGCTCGCATACTACTACCTTTACGGTCTCTGACTACTACATACCATAAAACAAGGGGTCAACGTTTTCCCAGTGTTGCAATGCGAGAAGATGGAGGACGAGGAAAGACATGATGTAGGGTATAATGTACAGAACGGCAGCTCCTAGTGTCAACACCATTACAGGCCTGTGGAGGAGAGACACGCGTCAGTAATACAAACTCACACACCTTATGAAACTACATAGGGAAAAACTCTGGGGCTCTGAGGCCCTTTTTTCCTCTCCTCGAAGGTATCACCGATCTGAATGAATGACTGAATGAAATAACAACTAAGCCATTGAAGAATGATGACCTAACAGTAGCTGCCGTCTAAGAATGTGTAGCCTAGGAAAGACGTTTGACTAAAAGGTATGGATGGATCAGGTTTTGTGTGTCATGGTTAAAAGTGTCTCATGATTACATTACACAAAATAAAATAGTGCGTGAGATGAACCCAACTTACTGTTTTATGACATTGTTCATAGTGTAGAGAACCCCAGGAGCCACAAGAGACAGAAGGAAAACACATATTTCCACCGGCAGCTGCATCTTTCTACTGTTGATTCATATAACACCTCAGCCAAAGTGAATAATCTGAACAGTGCACTGAAAAGGAACAGGAAAACTATATATCCCAAGTTTCAGTGGAGGATTACTGCTGGTGTCCACACCTCGTCTCCTGAATGGTGATTGTGATCACTCTCAGTAGAGTTTACACAGCTCTCATTGACCCTCGACATCAGCTGTTCACTGCTTTGGTTCAAAGTTCACAAACTTCATGATTGCATTATTCTAGGCTATATAGCCTATAAGCCTATAAATAGTTTTACGCAATGTGTAGGCTATGCACAGAGTGCGTTGTGCGTAAAATACATTAATGCGTAAATTAATTACATTCAAGTTATAAACAGTTGTCGAATTTATTAATTTTTTCTGTCAAGGCTTCAACTTTTGGAACTATCGACAAAGAATGGATTACTGCAACGTAGGCCTACAGTAGACCTACATGTATTTATTGCCACCTTGTGGTATGTGGCAAAAATCTGTGGTAACCGTGCTAGAGGTAAGATGCTTAACCGTGCTAGAGGTAAGATGCTTAGCTCATTTCATTCCGATCTCCTCTGCATTTTTGTAGCCATTTGCTACAGCCTGTCAACTATGCCTCTGCCTATCCCTGTTCTCTCGTCTCTGCACAGGCTACACAAACAACGCACAACACCGCGCGGCTGCTGCCTCTCCAACCTGGTGGTCCCTGCTCGCACCCCTCACCTGGAGTTCCAGGTCGCAGGCAGCCTCTGGAACTGCCGTTCTGCTGCCAACAAAGCTGACTTCATCCCAGCCTATGCCAACCTCCAGTCCCTCGACTTCCTGGCGCTGACGGAAACATGGATCACCACTGAAAACACGGCTACTCCTACTGCTCTCTCCTCGTCTGACCATGTGTTCTCGCATACCCCGAGAGCATCTGGTCAGAGGGGTGGTGGTACAGGAATCCTCATCTCTCCCAAGTGGACATTCTCAATTTTTCCCCTAACCCATCTGTCTATCTCCTCATTTGAATTCCATGCTGTCACAGTCACTAACCCATTTAAGCTTAATATCCTTGTCATCTATCGCCCTCCAGGTTCCCTTGGAGAGTTCATCAACGAGCTTGACGCCTTGATAAGTTCCTTTCCTGAGGATGGCTCACCCCTCACAGTTTTGGGGGATTTCAACCTCCCTATGTCCACGTTTGACTCATTTCTCTCTGCCTCCTTCTTTCCACTCCTCTCCTCTTTTGACCTCACCCTCTCACCGTCCCCCCCTACTCACAAGGCAGGCAATACGCTTGACCTCATCTTCACTAGATGCTGCTCCTCTACTAATCTCACTGCAACTCCCCTCCAAGTCTCCGACCACTACTTTGTTTCCTTTTCTCTCTCGCTCTCCTCCCACACTACTCACTCTGCCCCTACACAGATGGTAATGCGCCGCCGCAACCTTCGCTCTCTCTCTCCCACTACTCTCTCCTCTTCCATCCTATCATCTCTTCCCTCTGCTCAATCCTTCTCCCTCCAATCTCCTGATTCTGCCTCCTCAACCCTCCTCTCCTCCCTTTCTGCATCCTTTGACTCTCTGTGTCCCCTATCCTCCCGGCCGGCTCGGTCCTCCCCCCCAGCTCCGTGGCTTGATGACTCACTGCGAGCTCACAGAACAGAGCTCCGGGCAGCGGAGAGGAAATGGAAGAAAACTAAACTCCCTACCGACCTGGCATCTTTTCACTCCCTCCTCTCTACATTTTCTTCATCTGTTTCTGCTGCTAAGGCCACCTTCTACCACTCTAAATTCCAAGCATCTGCCTCTAACCCTAGGAAGCTCTTTGCCACATTTTCCTCCCTCCTGAATCCTCCTCCCCCCCCCCCCCCCCCCCCTCCTCTCTCTCTGTGGATGACTTCGTCAACCACTTTGAAAAGAAGGTTGACGACATCCGATCCTCGTTTGTTAAGTCTAATAACACTGCTGGTCCTGCTCACACTGCCCTACCCTATGCTTTGACTTCTTTCTCCCCTCTCTCTCCAGATAAAATCCTGCGACTTGTGACTGCAGGCCGCCCAACAACCTGCCCGCTTGACCCCATCCCCTCCTCCCTTCTCCAGACCATCTCCGGTGACCTTCTCCCCTACCTCACCTCGCTGATCAACTCATCCTTGACCGCTGGCCATGTCCCTTCCGTCTTCAAGAGAGCGAGAGTTGCTCCCCTCCTCAAAAAACCAACACTCGACCCCACTGATGTCAACAACTACAGACCAGTATCCCTTCTTTCTTTTCTTTCCAAAACTATTGAGCGTGCCGTCTTTAGCCAACTCTCTTGCTATCTCTCTCAGAATGACCTTCTTGATCCAAACCAATCAGGTTTCAGGACTGGTCATTCAACTGAGACTGCTCTTCTCTGTGTCACGGAGACTCTCCGCACTGCTAAAGCTAACTCTCTCTCCTCTGCTCTTGTCCTTCTAGACCTGTCTGCTGCCTTTGATACTGTGAACCATCAGATCCTCCTCTCCACCCTCTCCGAGATGGGCATCTCCGGCGCGGCTCACTCCTGGATTGCGTCCTACCTGACCGGTCGCTCCTACCAAGTGGCGTGGCGGGAAGCTGTCTCCGCACCACGTGCTCTCACCACTGGTGTCCCCCAGGGATCGGTTCTGGGCCCTCTCCTTTTCTCCCTATACACCAAGTCACTTGGCTCTGTCATATCCTCACATGGTCTCTCCTATCATTGCTACGCTGACGATACACAACTAATCTTCTCCTTTCCCCCTTCTGATAACCAGGTGGCGAATCGCATCTCTGCATGTCTGGCAGACATATCAGTATGGATGACGGATCACCACCTCAAGCTGAACCCTGGCAAGACGGAGCTGCTCTTCCTCCCGGGGAAGGACTGCCCGTTCCATGATCTCGCCATCACGGTTGACAACTCCGCTGTGTCCTCCTCCCAGAGTGCGAAGAGCCTAGGCGTGACCCTGGACAACACCCTGTCGTTCTCCGCCAACATCAAGGCGGTGACCCGCTCCTGCAGGTTCATGCTCTACAACATTCGGAGAGTGCGACCCTGCCTTACACAGGAAGCGGCGCAGGTCCTGGTCCAGGCACTTGTCATCTCCCGTCTGGACTACTGCAACTCGCTGTTGGCTGGGCTCCCTGCCTGTGCCATTAAACCCCTACAACTCATCCAGAATGCCGCAGCCCGTCTGGTGTTCAACCTTCCCAAGTTCTCTCACGTCACCCCCCTCCTCCGCACACTCCACTGGCTTCCAGTTGAAGCTCGCATCCGCTACAAGACCATGGTGCTTGCCTATGGAGCAGTGAGGGGAACGGCACCTCTGTACCTTCAGGCTCTGATCAGTCCCTACACCCAAACGAGGACATTGCGTTCATCCACCTCTGGCCTGCTGGCTCCCCTTCCTCTGCGGAAGCACAGCTCCCGCTCAGCCCAGTCAAAACTGTTCGCTGCTCTGGCACCCCAATGGTGGAACAAGCTCCCTCACGACGCCAGGACAGCGGAGTCACTCACCACCTTCCGGAGACATTTGAAACCCCACCTCTTTAAGGAATACCTGGGATAGGATAAAGTATTCCTTCTAACCCCCCCCCCCCCCCCCAAATTGTAAAGTGGTTATCCCACTGGCTATAGGGTGAACGCACCAATTTGTGAGTCGCTCTGGCTAAGAGCGTCTGCTAAATGACGTTAATGTGCCCTTGAGCAAGGCACTTAACCCTAATTGCTCCTGTAAGTCGCTCTGGTTAAGAGCGTCTGCTAAATGACTAAAATGTAAATGTAAATGTAATAATGTAGTCAAACGATGAACAGAAACAAACTATGAACGAAAATGAATTTCTCTAAATATACTGGACAAAAATATAAACACAACATGTACAGTGTTGGTCCCATGTTTCATGAGCTGAAATTAAAGATCCCAGAAATGTTCCATAAGCACAAAAAAAGTAGTTATCGAGAGTAATACGCTTTTTGTACATATGGAACACTTCCGGGATCTTTTATTTCAGTAAACATGGGACCAACACTTTACATGTTGCGTTTATATTTTTGTTCAGTGTAAATAAATAACTGAACACGATACAAAATCAGTATTTGGCCTAAGGAAACAGGCTGTAGGTAACACACTGTGAAACTAAATACAGCCTGCCCCCATGGATACTTTTCCTTTCAGAGCGTACAGAACACTGGCAAAGCCAGGTAGAAATACCTTGAGCATCAAGAAGCGTACACCCCTTTTCCCAGCGGGTTCTGTCACTGGATACGTATACCCAATTACCTGTTTAAAAATGCTGAAGGTAGATAACGCCACATAATATTCACAGGCCTTTCTCAATCAAACAGGTACACCATCTGAAATACGACAAATCTCATTAAATAATACATTCACAAAATGACAGAACCCGCGGGAAAAGGGGTGCACAATTCTCGATTCCATGTATATAGCTTCATTCTTCTTTTATTTCTCATGTGTTTTTATTTTGTATTTTTCATATTTAACTCTGCATCGTTTGGAAATAGCTTGTAAGTAAGCATTTCACTGTAAGGTCTATAACTGTTATTTTCGGAGCATGTGAAAAAAACGATATTATTTCATTCTTAGTTTGTTTTTGTTAGTACATTTTTCGCCCGCGGGCGCGCCTTGTAGTAGAGCGCGGATGTGCAAGAGCGGAACAAAAAGCACTCTAAAAGAATGCACAAACTGTAAGAAAATAATTTCACTGGAGCTACAAAGATATAAATGGAGAACTTGCTAGCAATGAGTGGAGTAGCAATAGTAGGCCTACACATGTTTAAAAACAGTAACTACGTTGGCATAATTAACTCAAGAGCGCACAGAGGGTGGGGCTTGAATTTGAGCCCGAGTACCATGTCAAAATATGTACATTTGATGAAATTGAGCATGCAGACCTTGTCCAAAATAAATGTAATTAAACTTTCACAGATTTATCTGACTGATTAGAGTTACTATAAAATACTGTGTAATACAACAACTACAGATAGTGAAGATTATTATTATTATTATTATTATTATTATTATTATTATGGACAGATAGCCTACTATAGGACCATTTTTCAACATCATCATTTGTCTCTCTCACAATGTATCTGTGTCTCATCTCAGAGAACCCTCTGTGCCAGTGAAGAGTAAGATTAAGAATTCCTCTCATGTCTGAGGA